GGCTACGACTCCGTCAGAGGAGTCTGTTTCCAGCTTTGTAGGTAATTCGGGGTTGAAGTGGTGGAGCGCCTGCACAGCTAAAAGCTGTCGGCGCATTTCTTCAAAAGCGTTCTCACATTCGTCAGTCCACAGGAACGGTTCCGAGGGGCTGGTGATAGTGGTGAGAGGCTTGGCTATTTTCCCGAAATTTCTGATAAATTGGCGGTAGAAGCCGCAGAATCCAAGGTAAGACTTCACGCCTGTGACCGTTGTTAGTCGGATCCAATTCCAGAGGGGTTCGATCTTCTTGGGATCCGCTTCGACACCGGTAGTAGTCAGGATATAGCCTAAATACTTTGTCCGGGTTACGTTGAACTCGCATTTCTTAATGTCGGCTTGCAGTCCTGCTTCTCGAAGCCGTTAGAGGACCTTATGTACGTGGTCCATGTGTTCCGCGGGGTCCTCGGAGTAGATTAGGATGTCGTCTAGGTAGGCAGTACAGAAGTCGTCTAAGTATTGCATAAGAACGTCGTTCATATACCTCTAATAGGTTGCGGGGCCGTTCGTCAGACTAAACGGCAGCACTTTGCATTTGTAGGATCCATATCGAGTTCGGAAGGTCGTGTACTCTTCGGAGTCGGGGTCCATTCGTATACGATGGAAGGCTTGCCTAATGTCTAGCTTCGTGAAGATTTTTGCTTTCGACACCCGTCCTAGTAGTTCGTCGATACGCGGGATAGGGTAGGGGTCGTTACGGGTAAGTCCGTTCAACTTCTAGTAGTCGATACAAAATCTCAGTTTGCCATCTGCCTTCTTCACGAACAGTATAGGGGAGGCAAACGGGCTATTACTATTAACTATAAAGCCCTTCTCGAGGTTCTCTAATAGGTATTGCTTAGTCGCCTTAAGCTCTTCAGTGCTTTGTCAGTATAGTGGCGAAAAGGCATTTGGTAAAGGGGCTTCTAGTTGTATCTTATGATCGTATATGCGATGCGGGGGAAGCTGATTAGATTCTGACTTCGAGAAGACATCGGAATAGTTGCGGTGCGTATGCGGAAGCTTGTCCCGAATAAGGCGGAGCGTTTCTTCGTCCTCGGCCGCTTCCCTCTCCTAGATGATCTAGTCGATCTCGTAGATGCTTGTCGTGAAGAACTTGGAGTCGCTTCGCATCATCTCATAGTGGAAAGCGTTTGCGCCAATCTCGCAAATTTAGACCGGCGTGAAGCTGCGTAACAGGGTCTGGCGTCGGGAGGGAGAGACAACTCCGCTCCTCCCATGGTTCTTTCTTTCATATGCAGATGGTCCGTTTCTTGGAGGTTTCGCCTCTACTTGTCCTAAGGGTCTGTCTTTATAGGTTTCCACGGGCGAGGCTCGTGTCCTTAGGGTTTTGGGGTGCGGGTGGGTCGTTCTATCGTCTCGCACCGTGCTTGGTGGGGTGACGATAATGGCGTCACAATGGGCCGTTATCACTTTCATTTGCATCGAGCGTCCGCCCTCACGTCGTCTGTCGTCATGGTCGATGGCATCATCCCGCCAGTTCGCATCCGATTGATAGGCGGGGTGACGTATAGACAGTTCACGCGAGTGGTAGGGCAAGGTGATCTCTTTGCTCTAGCTAGGAGTAGGCGGGTACTCCTTTAGCTATACTAGCCGGCTCTTTGTAGAGTCGAGTAGGATTCGGAAGCGGCTAAAAAGCTTCTTCCTAATTATCACATCTTGCGCTCCGAGATCTAGGAGCACAAAGGGGCAGTTATATATTCGGCGTCCTTCGACTGTCAAGTGTAACCGAATATACTCCGATACGTAGCTTTGGATATTTCGCTGAAATCCACGTATAGGTATAGAGTAGGGCAGTTTCCGTATGGGGCTCTAAAGCGCTTTCGACAACCGTTGCGCGAAAGGCTTATTAATGACGAGGTAGCCATTTGCTCCTGTGTCTGCGAGTGACTTCGTTTGCACCCCGAGTCCGTTCATACTCAGGGTTGTATCCACGAGAAATTGGGAGCCTCCTAAGAGCTCTTGTAAGTCCAGTCCTTGCAGATCACATTTGCATAGACCTAGGAAGGAGCCTTTCCCTAGGCCTCGTCGTTTTCCTCTAGGGACGCATCCGACTAGTAGGCGACTGCTTCCTCCTACTGCTCTTCGTCCTTAGGGGCTTCGCGATCAATCTCCTTAACGGTGGGGTTGAGCAGGCATTTGTCCTGGAAATGGCCCGGCTTGCTGCACTTGAAACAGTTCCTGGACGTAGCCGGCACGGCGGTCCGCACGCGGCCTATAATGTCCGGCTTAGGGGCCGTGGGCGTAAAGGGAGTCCTCTAGAAGGAAACTAGAGGGTTTCTTGTCTGCCTCAGTGGCTGGGCCTTTCCGGGGTCCACGGGCGTGAACCTAGATGAGCTTAGGCGGGCGGGTCCTTAGGAGCTTGACTTGCCGCTCTTAGACAGGAAGCTCAACTCGTTGTTCCGCCGCCGCTCCTAATTGAAGGCGGTGAGTTCTCGGACCATGGTGTGGTAGTCTCCCTTCCATTGACTTTTGATAACCGCTACGCGGCTACGGAATTGAGGGGTCAACTTGTTCCACATGTACCGAAACCATTCCGACTCGGTGACCTGTCCTGTAATAGCTGCACTTTGGAAGCGAGCTTTGAACTCTAAGAAAGTCTCGTTTGTATGTCCTTTCTCTCCCATTTAGAGGTCGTCGAAGAGGTTCCGGGCCTGTTCCGTTTCGTTGCCAGTGAGGTAATATGAACCTAATAGGTCCATCATCTCGTCGGCACTCCGAAACCCGTGGGTCGCGGATAGGTATTGGGGTTCGAGGTATTTCTTTGCTAGGCCAGTCGTAGTCCCCCATATTAACGCTCTTCTCGAGACGTCAGTAGGGTAGTGATCCTCATTGACTACGAGGCGGTCCTGAATGGACGCGCTCCATTGCATAAAGGTATGTTCTATCCCATCGCTGAGCGGCGTAATCTTCTCAGAGATAGTGGATTTCTTGTAGCGATTTAGAGGGTCTTCGGAATACATCCTCGGAATCGATGGAGAACGAGTGTTTCGAAGAGGCGGCAACTGAACTGTCTCGGGGGTGTTTCGCATAGGGGAAGTTCGTCGCTCCCCAACTTCGACGGTGTCCACCGGTGGCGTGGACGGTATTCTGGTCTAGGTTGCCGCTAGGTTGGCTATCATTTCCTTGATCTCTTGCATCTGGATCTCGAGGTTTGCCATTCGATCCAGTATGTCATCGGTAGGTGCAGCGGTCGTAGCTGCAGCGGTGGTTTGTCTCGTTAACATTCGTGACGGTTGACCATCATTGTCTTAGGGGATGTTTAAGGTCATTTTCCTTATATTGGTTCGGGGGTGTATCGGTGTCGATACGAAAGAGTTTGACTTCCGGTAGCTCGTAGCTATCAACACTCTTGTTCACAATTGCCTCTGTGCTTAAGGGGGTTCTTAAGGATCTCGTATCCTATTCGGCGCCAACGCGTCGGCGACTTTACCAGCTTGCTCTGCAGGATTAAACCCTAATCCACTGGTTGTCCGTGAGTTCTCTAGGGTCACGGCTATTTGAAGTTGTCAGGTCTCTACTTCGAAATGTCACTGAGTCGCGGTCGGTAGTGTTTCGACAGTTCTCCTAAGTCGTTCCAGTTGTGGGATATTATTTACGTACGGCCGTCCCCAGCAGGCGTGATCTTTTTTGTATAATGTATGGACACAGGGCACCGTATCACGAGAAGTTGCATATGGGAGTGCGAGTCGGATAGAAGTCGGTGCAATCCTATAGGTCTACTACGAAGGATATAAAAAAGATGAAGGTGTAACCCTGTATGGCTGTTCCCTTAAAATACCCGAAGCCGCTCCGACTTAGCTAGCTCCCTGTTTGCCTAAGGCTTCCTTACGTTATGTGCCTAAGGCTGTCAGTCGCGACTGACCCGTAACGGCCCCGAGTCTCGATGGCGCCACGTGACGGCCGTAACTACCCCGAGTAAGGAGGCATCCTTACACTATTCCCTAGCTATATAGTCTTTAGACAGCTCTTTACTTCTAAGCTTATAACTACCTTTACAGTAGCAATAACTCCCATTATAAAACCTACTTCATTAAAGTTGTAGATGTCCTGCTCTAAGATTCTGTATTTTACAACTATGTTTCGTACGAGAGAGAACTACTCTTGAATTATCTTTAGATCTTCGCATTTTGCACGTTTATAGTCGTACTTCTAACTAAACTTTGCTTTGATTTCCATACGACGCTTAATGAAGGTAGTAGTCTAGTTCTTTCTAACAGGACTCTTGCCTCGTTCGGAAAGTAGAAGGTCTGCCATTTCTTATACAGCTTATAGCCAGGGTAGAAATCCACGTAAATCTAGGTCGAGGATATACTAAACAAGAGCTGACTCTTTGTATAGAGTCAACTTCTATAAGCTAGGGGTAGAATTGCGTCAGGAAGGCATTCTATTCATTCTGTTACTAAGGGTTAACCGTGTTACATCGTACAATTCTGCAGCTTAGCGGACACTCTTTAAATGTCCATTTTTAATTGCTTAGATAGCCTTTAGTGTTCTATCCTCTTTATTAGAGTCTTAGGCTTGTGTTAGTCGCAGCATTGTCAATTGTAGTCTAGTCGACGCGTTTTGGTGTTTTTAGTGTTTTGGTGGCCAACTAGTCCGTGTGGCCAACTCATATGTGAAATACGTTACCTTTTCCTAAAGGTACCTTTATTAACTAAGCTACTTATAATCTCTATGTCTATTTCCTACTACTTATTAGCTATATGCTATTTTACCCTATTACTAGGTTATATAGCATATAGGTTATATGAATTTAAGTAAGTTACGTCTTTATATAAATTACTATGTAATGGTACTTAAGCTTAATTAGTGGTCATAAACGCCATTCACTTTGCACATGCCGTTCGCTTAACTCAACTTGTGCAAAGTGTGGGTTGGTTCCGACGATTACGTACTCGGACAGTTAAAATTCGCCGAAGCCGAAGGCAACATCCTTCGTCAGTATTCTGTAATAAATATATCACCTTTCGAATCGAGTTTGTTCGGCCCCATTTTCACGCTGTTACACGTGATGAATGACATTGATACGACATTGACCGGCGATGTACGGGACTCGGCATTATCTTTAGACCCTCAGACATCAGGACAGAAGCCAAAGACAAGGTCTTGTCAGCTATGCCACCAGCGGAAAATTCGCTGTGACAAAACCTTGCCATGTTCCAATTGTGTACGTGGACATACATCTTGCCATTATCCTGGGAATGAGCGCAAAGCTCGGCGCCCGCACAAGACTACCATCACTGATGTCGCGTCGCGGGTAACAAAACTCGAGCGTGTTATTGCTGCTATGTCGAACCATCACGGCATTGCTACGGAAGCTGCAGCGACAACTGAAGGTCAGGCATTTCATACTCATGATGGAGCTGGTATCTCCCGGTGTAGCGAAGTGACTATAGCTAATCATCCTGAGACGCGCGAGAAAAGAGAAAGCTCTACTGAAGAACTACTTGTGCAGGATGGTGAATCAAGTTGTTACGTAAATGAAGTTTTGCTGTCACGGGTTTTAGACGAAGTGAAAATCATCCAGCTATTTTATATATTCGGGTTGCGCTAACATAATATTAGGAACGAGCACTTCAGTCTACTATAGGAACTCTAAAGGAAGACATAACGGGGCCATCTAATACTGTTGACTTAATAGACATTGGAATGCCATTCTCGCATTTTAAAAAGCCGGCACTAGGTGATAAAATTCGACTTCCATCTCGCCGGTACGCAATACAACTATGGAGGACATACATTGAAAACGTTGACCCTATGGGGAAAATCTTGCACATTCCAACTATGGAAGCTGCTTTGTTTGGAGCCGCCAACAACGCCGCAGATGTTGATAGTGATCTGAGTGCTCTTTTGTTTTCAATCTATTTTGCTGCCACAACAAGTCTTGAATCAAGTGTTGTTGCAAGAATCTATAGCGATGAGAAAGGTTGTTTGCTTTCTAGGTTTAAAGAGGGCCTAGAGCAATGTCTCGCAGGTTCCAACTTCTTAGCTCATCCCACTATGAAGTCTCTCCAAGCTATGGCAATATATCTCGTAAGTATCGCATTTTCAAACATCCCGAACCAATATGTTAACGGATAATGTATAGAGATCTCTCCGCGCCTATGACTTAGGACGGTCGTCTTGGACTCTGTTCGGGTTAGCAATGCGCTCAGCTCAATCAGTAGGGCTGCACAGAGATGGATCAAACTTCAAGCTGCCACCCTTTGAGACCGAGATGCGAAGGCGGCTATGGTGGTTTTTGTGGTCTATTGAGGCTCGAGAAGCAGAAGATCATGGTATTTCAGTCTCTGATTACATGATCGATTTGTCTGGAACACGGTTCCCTTCAAATCTCGATGATGGCGACCTATACCCTGGTATGACAGAACTGCCTGCTTCAAAACCCACATGGACAGCCATGACATTTTCCCTAGCCACATGGGAGACATCTCTCCTGATCTACCGAACCATGTCATCATCCAGCTCTGGCAGTTCACACATGTTATCTCGAGAACAGCTTTTGCGGGACCATTTGACACACCTAGAGGAAGCCTACCTGAAGCATTGTAACCCAGATATCCCAGTCCAACGCGCAGCTATTCTGATGGGCAGGCTTCTGTCAGCCAAAGCCAGCTTCATCACTCAGCAACAAGAATTGAAACGCATCTTCGATCCAGCCCAGCCCGCCTCTACCGCAACAGAAGAATCCCTTATCACAGCTTGTCAGATTCTGGAGATGAATATACAATTGCAGACAGAAGAGATATTGAGAGATTTTCAGTGGGTTTTCGTTACCTACACTCAGTATCACCCACTATTATATGTCCTTTGGCATCTCTATATAAAGCCTACAGGTCCTAATGTGGACCGCGCATGGGCTACTGTTTTGCAAGCCTTCGAGATTGCTAGCCGCCGTGAGTCTTCTGCTGAAGGCGGGTCGAAATGGTCAATGGTGCAAATTTTGAAACAAAAGGCATGCAGACGCACGCAGGAGTCTGCTGAACAACAACTGACCGTTGCTGGATCAGGCAGGTGCGTGGCCTCGTCAACTCCCAGTGCACTTGATGATATCCAGAATCCTAGCCTTTGGGACATGGATACTATGGACATTTCGGATTGGAACAATCTTACGGATAATTTCAACGTATATGATTTCGAGGGTTGAGAAGATACGAATCCATGATACTCCACAATGTAGCCATTCTATCAAGAAATGTATTCAAAGTGAAATTTAAATAGGCAAGTTCCATGTCGGACGTGCCTGACCCTTGACATATGTTTCTACTATACTACATCCGTTCGCCATTAACCGAAAAGAAGCGCATTCTTGCCCACCAACCGAAGCGTCTGCCATTTATAACTACAACTGCTAGCTCAAAGACGGTTCTAGAGAAAAGTCTCCGATACGATAGAAAAGTATTATGAAATCCGTCTAATCTTATTAAGCAGTCTCTAAGATCTCATACCTTTATACAAACAACAAATAGCAGACCACGCTTCTAACCGAAAAATAAAGCACAATGAAATTCCTTGCCAATAGGAGTAAGTCCATTCTCTTCCCACACTTGACTCTAACAAATGAAAGCTTAAAACTTGGCAACAAGTTTGAACCCTGTCTCATAAAGCCTCGCCGCGAGCACCACTGTCGTTCCCACCATCACAAATACTCCAGCGAAGATCTTCATCCCCAAAAAGTCCCCATTTTCCTTCGCCAGTATTGCCCCCGCCATTGGCCCTGTTGTCAGCCCTCCCACCGAAAGCGCCAGGAACATTAACCCCGTCCGAAAGCCAATCTCCCTCGGCGGTGAGATCTCTGCGATCAGCCCCGGCACCAGCGAGACGTAAGCTCCAGAAGAGAAGCCGAAAAGCACAGCGAAGGCGACGATCGCTGCGTTAGTAGTACCGGGAACCCAGAGTGCGAGGAGGAAGATACCGGTGGCATAGCAGACGACGATGAAGGTGTTGTAGACACCTACTTTGACGGCCATGATGCCAGAGACGGCACGGCCGAAGAGACTATGTTTGTTAACTAATCTCTGCTCAAGGGAGTTAGGGGTTTGGCTTACCTGCCCGCGTTCAGGATAGGGATAAGATACTGCGCTAGTTCGGCGGACATTCCACTCGCGGTTGCTTCAACGACGAGGTAGGTGACAGGAATGAAGATGCCGAAGGTAAGAAGGGCAGTTCCGGCAGTTACGAGTAGCATCATAGGTTCCTTAAAGGGGCGCATGAGCTCATCTTTGGTGGGACTGTGGGGGTGTGGAGGAAGGCGAGACCTGGTGGTGAGGTTGGCCACAATGAGCAGGCCAAGGATTAGGAATCCAGAGATACGCATTGCCCAACCGTAGCCGACTTCTTTGATTAGACGGTTGACCATGATAGGGAAAATGACGCCGCCAAGACTAGAGCCGGTTGAGAGGGCACCATAGGCTGCTCCTCTCTTTTTGCTAAACCAACCGCCTACACAGCTGAGGGCTAGAAGGTGTCAGTATATTCTTCCGAAGCTTTCTGACACGACTGACCAGGTTGGAATATACACGCTACACCAATAGCGCTACAGACTCCTTGTGAAAGCATGACCTGATAGTACTCTGAAGAAATCGATGCCATCATGACGCCAAAGACGTGAAGAAAACTCCCAAAGAGAATTATGTTGCGTGGCCCGTAGTGATCGTGTGTCATGCCAACGATTGGTCCCTAGATTCTTTTCAGCTTGTATTCTATGACCGAAGTCTCGTGTATTTACCATAGCGAACATGAAGAAGATCTGCATAGATGGAATCCATGCTATCGTACTTGCCGAGTACTGCTTTAAAAGTTCGCGCTCGTAGTAATCCTGGAAGGTGCCGACGCCTTGAGATTTACTATCAACATAAGGTAAGATGGTTGAGTTTCGGAAATAGAGACTGACTGTTGATCCAGCCAAAAGTGCAGAACGAGATGCACCATGCACCGAGAACTGTCAGCCATGCTGCAGCGCCCCCATCTGGAGCGTCGCCAAAAGTCACGGTGGTTGGAGGAGCCTCAGCTTTCTCGTAGTCGTTCTCGTTGCTCGTGGAAGCCGAGGGGGGTGGGCTTGCATGCTGATTTGCTGCTAGGGTTCTAGTATCGCTGTATGGAGGCTTGTCAACTCGACTCATTGGACCAGACGAAGACATTTTTGGTTGAAAGGAAGGCGTCGGAAATATCACAATGCGACGATGCGAACTAGAACTCAGCTGGCTCCTCAGTGATGCCTGGTATCAATTGTTGAAGAGCGTAGGATCGCTCTTTTTATCTGGGAGATGTGGTTTTCATCGGCGATACAATATTCGCCGAAACCGTGCCACTCCACCGATCATCTTGTCGCAGTTTTCCGTAACCCGGTGAGTTATGCAAGTGCTTCTGTTAAGAGTGATCTCGGCGCGGCAAAAATATAATACCCTAGCGCAAACCCGCAGAAGAATAGAAACGTCGCCGGCGGAAAAAGACGCTGACCCCCCCTCAGGCCTAGCCCCGATTCCCTAGCCCCCCGGTAGCTACGGCCTCCGTAGCCAACCCTGCTAGAAGCCTCGTCGCCAACGAGGCAATTGTCAGATCTAAGAGCGACAGTGTCGATATCGCTGCAGCAGCACTAGTAGAAGGCCCTACAGACGCGGGTGATCGTGAGGCATCCAAGTTCATGTCTAGGACGTCGATCCTAGCCTAAAAACAGCTGAATTAGCACGCTGCAGGCGTGTTGTAATAGTCACATGATCTCACGTGATCTCCGTACGGAATACCGGTAATTCCCAGTAGTAGATTACATAGTCAGTAATACATCAATTTTCTTACTCAATAGTTATGAGCCTAGAGCAAATCTAATACGCAATTTGAAGGTTCTAATAGCCTTGTACGGACCTACAGAACACCTCCTAGGGCGCTAGCTATTAATATGGCGGCCCTATAGAAGGTAGGGGAGTCCTCACCAACCTAATGTTACGGCCCTCGGGGAAACTATGGACCGTGCAGGTTTCCGATATTAGAACAGAGTATCTGCTGTCGGAAACCAGACAGCGTACGACCTTGTTGGGTCGAACGACTGAGCCGAGCGCCAGAACATCAGTGGCGCCAGACCCAATCGGGCCAGGGGACTGAGCCGGGCGCACGACCCGGGAGCGTAGACCCCATTTAGGTACATAAGGGGTAGGAAGCTACAAGCTCCCCCTTGATCTTTTTTATATCCTTTATAGTAGACCTATAGAATTGCACTAACTTATATCTAACTTGCACTCCTATATGCCACTTCTTGTAATATAGTGCCCTGTGTCCTTACACTTATAAGATAACTGTATTAAACAAATATGTTTTTATTGTCTGTAGAAGAGTTGGTTAGTAAACACTCCTATAGGGGTGTACTATATCTGATTATTTCCCAATAAACAAGGATACTAAAGAGACAACGCTTTACATTAACATTAAGTTAGAGAGTTTGCGCAATATCCTAAGGGTTATCTTAGGAGATGTTTAAGGAATTAGCTTAAAAGAACCAGTCCTATCTATGTGTCTTCTCTGTTTCTATAGATTAACCAACCTTGATTAATTGTCTTTTAGGTTAAGCAGAATCTCTTACACTACTATCTACCTAAAATAGAGTTATATTAAGGACTAAAACTCTATTAGGACGTTAACTAGAGTAAGATTACTAATGAATCACATTTAGAGTTGCTTATCAATTACATTAAGATAGCCTATAGACCCATAAGATAGAGACTAAACTCTCTCTTAGAAGACAGCTACATTACATATAACCTGCTTTAGGCCCTCTTTAAACTAAATACCTTAGTATACACTAAGTGTTTTAGCATAGGAAAGCTAAGATATGTTAAGTATGATTTTAGAGAAGAACAGAAGACAAACAGTAGGGTGAAGTACTTTTATATAGAAGGTTGTTATCTTAATTTTAATAGAAAGGTACTTAGTAAAGCAGTAATTCATCTTTTAATTAAAAAGTTTTAAGGCGCTAAGCGGATAGATATGTAACGCTGGGTCTTAAACTATAAGACTCACAGAGGTTTCGTTGCGTTGGTTTACTTAACAGAGGAGGCAGGGGATTAGACACAAAGGCTTTCGTAAAACACGTTACAGTATATAACAAATACTATATTGAGTTGAGCACGAAGCTCCTATCTAAGAACTAACTATCTACTTATATAGTGGCGTCGTGCTAAAGGGAATAGTTGGAATAGCAAACTCCTTTGCTATTCTTGCTATTCCTGCTATTCCATCACGTGGGTTATTCTCTTTCTGGTACCT